TACAACTGTGTTTGCAGAGAAATCCCCAATTTCATTCAGGGTAATGAGATGTTTTGTTTCAAATGCATCACCCCCCCTTAACCCGTGACTTGGCCCGTCTCTGCGATAACTGACCTAATGTTCTGGATGTGGGAGCAGAGAGCAGGAGCAGAGAGCAGGAGCAGAGAGCAGGAGCAGAGAGCAGGAGCAGAGAGCAGGAGCAGAGAGCAGCAGCAGAGAGCAGGAGCAGAGAGCAGGAGCTGGTTGGATGACGAAGGCGGATTCAGTTTAGCTCAGACTAGCAGAGGATCCTGTGGGATTTTGGCTGCAGATAATAGACTTAAAGACAGATCCCTGCTGCCTCGTCCCTCTTTTCTCAATGAGAGCTTTAATCACTGAGCCTGCTGGTGCGGAAACCTGCCGCAGCCTCTCTCTGAGGTGGAAAATTCCACCCGTGTGTCTACAGAGCAGTTCGTACATTCTGATAGAGCTGCTGCTCCTTTGAGTCAAAGGTTCATCTTTTTATCACATTATATTATACTGAACTTCTAACGTTTCATAACAGTAAACAGTTTAGAATAATTCAGAGGTTAATTTCCACTAATGCGGCCAAAATATCAGCATCAGCAGCAGGGAGGCCACAAAACGTCAGTTCCCGACAACATGTTACCATGGAGACGAGCTCACGCTGCTTTTGGCCTTTGCCATCACGTCAAGAATAACCTGCACCTCATCTAACAGGTTAATGGGATTGAGTCAGCGTCCAAAACAGAGCATTGACGGTGAGTTCGCAGTCTGTTCAGTCAGAGGTGTTTTCTGAGTTGAAGCCTGACACTTGTATGTCTCGTCACTGACCTCTTTGAATAACGGTTCGTCACAGAAGCGGAATGAATCCTGGGATATGTTGGCCCCAGAGGAATCCAGCTGTAGAATGGGGACCGTGTGTTTGCAACGTTTGTGAAGCCATCGGTCAGCAAAGTGCACATTCATTTAAATGTTACGGTCTCGAATATGTTATGATTTGGTGCTTAAAACACAATTAAACACCTTTTATTTTCATTCATTTGTTTTTTACCATATTATTTACAGTCTCCGGGCACAACCAGCGGATCCACAGGCAGCCAGCAGCAAAGCGAGCAGTATCTTCAGCAGCTCACTTTACAGTAAGAACAGGTTTCACAGTGTTCCAGTAATCAGGAAATTCTTTGTGAGTGAGGGAAATGTTAAGTAAGATAATCTGATAAAGTCATTGATGCATTCAGACCCCCCCCTCTGTCCCTAAAACATGTGTGAAAGGATTAAACCTATCAGAGGGAAAAATGTCCCGTGAGCCCCCGTGAAGAAACATGTTCCTGCACGGGCACCATTAAACCGGGGCTAACCCGACTCCTGGCAGGAGAAGCAGTGACATGGTGGGTTCGGTTTGAACGACTCCCACAGGTACAGGCCGAGAAACAGACGACCAATTATGAGCTGCGTCGGCGGATCAGCATGTCCTGTCCTGGGCCTCCTCCCTCTAACCTGGCCTGCTGTCAAGCTGCTTGAGCTCAGCACTCCCCCCCCCCCGCCTCGGTCTGCCTCCTCACATCTACTTCACAATTACAGCCTGTCTGATGGAGTGATAATCACTGCAGCAGTCAAATCAGGCTTCAGATCCGTTCCTGTGTTTCTCAACCCTATGTACCGGGCTGCTGCTGCTGCTGCTGCTGCTCCGACGACGCGCTTGTGAGCAAAATAGGACCGAAAATCCAAAAGAGGAATGTTCGAGAGTAAACCACATCCAAGGTCAAGGTTTCCATGAGCACCAGTGGTCTCCCCCTCCCCACAGAGCGAGTTACAACCACCAGACCCGGGTGGACTTCCAAGACGGGAAGGAAGCAGCCAGGACGACATAACATTATTCTGCAGTCACTTGTTAAAATCAATGAGGACAGGAAGCAAAGTGACTCCAAACTTTAACAGACTCCGCACATCATGTCGTCATTTACAACTCCAGGGTTTCACCATTTGACATTTTGGGGAAATTTGCACAAGGTGAAACATCTTCATGTGAGTGTGTGATATTTTGTGTGGATCCAAATAAAAATGTGGATCTTGTGAATTTAAATGTGATTAAATAAGGGGACCCCCAGGTCTTGGTGGAGCTCCGAACAAACTGAGACCGTGAAGTGAAAAAGCTCTTTTCTATTCTCTTGAGTGTTTTTCCATCTGTCACTTTCAGCCCGTGTTCCCTGAATATACAGCGGAAAAACACTAAACGTGATGACCTCCTTTGTTCCTAATTGTAAATCCTCTATGTGTCCCTGTTATTGTTACAGCCTGGATTTCACAGGAAAACCGGAATAGCAATAAAACGTGATAACAAAAGTCCATTCGCCTTCTTTTTAGAGGAGATCTGTTGACGCATTGTGAAATATCTTTGATTGGGTCACAATATAACGCCTCGTGCTGATCATAAAATACTCGTATCACTCATTTATCGCTTTACTTTGTCAAATACCTTTCTTGCAAAACATGTTCCTGCTTTGTGAGCACAAGAACAAAACATTTTGATTCACTCACTTTACTGTAAACACGCGTGACTAACCACTTTTCCCCGCACTGTAGGTTGTGAAATCCGATCACAGCGTGCAGAGGCCATCGTGAGGCTTCCTGCTGAGTAATGCTGCACCGAGTCTCATGTGCAGGACACGTTACTGTGAGATAAGGACACTTAAGCTGCCTGACTCCAGCTAAACAGACACTGGCTGTGTGGCATTCAGTCATGTTGTAGATTTACCAGAACAAACAGGCTGATATGAGGCCGGGAGGTGAGCTTGATTGAGAGTGTGCGGACTCTGGAAGCTAAGGCTATTAGAGACGGAGCTGGTATCCTTGAATAACCGGGGTTTAAGCCTTCTATGGGGCCATTGAGAGAAAAAGAGAAAAGCTTGTTGAACGGGGCAGGGATGAGGTGAAGGAGGGTGTTTGGGGGCTCACGGGAGGACGAGGAGGGGCAGGAGAAAAAAACAGCTGAAATGCTGAGTCAGAGTCGGAGGGAACATCCAGCTTCGAGTCCTCAGCGTTAAGAAGCTGACTCAGTCTGCAGAGCGGCGGGAAAGTCGTGTCCTAAACTTCTTAATGTGTGATCCACCTCCTGAATTACAACCACACACACTAATGAGCTGGATGCACTCTGCTCACATGGCTAAGTGTACAAACAGATTGTTTTCAAACTTTCAGTTTCTTGTTTGGTTCTGACTGTTGAAGCAAGTTGACATTAAACAATAGAAGATCTGAGATAATCAATCATTTCAGTAACATTTGCAGGTTCTAGTTTTTCATGTGAGGACAGTTTGCTGCTTTTTTCTGTTTTAGATCAAAGTAAGTTAAATAGTTCGGGGGGTTTTGAAAGTCAGAGCAAAATCTGAAGATGTCACCTCGGGATCATGATATGAAGACTCAAATGATTTATCGGTAATGACTAATCAGGCCTTCATCTCGGTTTCCAGAAACACAGAGGCTATGACCCCACTGCTCTCAGTGATGCTTCATACGTCTATTGCAGTCATTTCTAAAGTGAATGTAAAACTCCTTATTGTGGTCACTGAGCTATTTTAAGATCTTTGGCCTGAGGCTGAAATGTGATTATCTGAATGTTCGAGCCTGAAATCTGAACTGTTCTTTCTGTGATTGGCACAGACATGTTTTATCAGCAAAACAGACTCTGTCAGGATTAATCATGGGACATGTCTGGAATAAGATTATCAAATTGTGCTCAGTCGATATATAGACTTTGGAGAAAGTGGATAACCGATAATCGTGTTTTTAAAATATTTATAGCTTCAGCAGAGCAGTGATTCTGACGTTTGAGTTTACACAACTTCCCGTAAAGACTCTGTTTTCATACAGAAAACAGAGGAAGAGCAACAACAGCTCATGTTTTTATCCAAACACAGATTCAGAGTCAGTTGCTTTCATCTGGATGCCGACCATGTCAGCTGGGCGGGAGGTCAGCGTCACTTCAGGGAAACAATGCTGAACAGTGCTCGTGTATGGTTGGTATTGTTGTACGGAGATTCAGTCTGAGTCACCGTCCACGAGTGTCCTCCTCGTGGACGCTCCAGAGCTGCCAACACCCACAAGCAACGGCTGTCCACTGGGTTATGAAAGCCGTCCCACATAAAAGTCTTCTGTGGCAGTGGCCAGAGAGCAGTTTTCAAACTATGAGTTGTTTACAGGAATTGTTTGTTTTTATTTCATTAAAATGTTTAATCTTTCATGTACAAATCAGTCTATATCTATATTTACTTAATATATTAAACTGCAATGTGGGGAAATAAAGTCGTTTTTCAGTGTTTTGAGCATAAACACCTGATATTGTGTGTCTCGCTAAAGCTGAAGAGTTATTTGTTTATTTGTACCATCATTTAATTCTACTACTCTTGTCTGTTCATTTATTTAAAGGAGTTCAAACAAAAAAAAATCTAATTTCCAAGAGAAGGAAAATCTATTTCCAGCATCTGGCAGCCATTTTTGATTCCTTACCGTCCCCTGCTGGGCACCTTGTGTCACTGCAGTACCAGAGGCCGCAGCTTCAGGACCACTTTTCTCAGGCCCATAGTGTTTAAAGGTTTACTCCACAAAATACTTCTTTGTAAAGGTACTTATGTTCTGTGCTCATGTTGTACAGTGAAACTTTTTCTGTGGCTATTCCTCACAATAGGCTTTATTTTCACTGAACGACGGATGTAGGCTGTAACGGTGTAGTTATCTCTGTCCACATTCTCTTTTATTCTTTAGTGATCATTGTGTTTTATGCGGTTGTTGGTATTGTGTGTTTTGTAATGGATGTTTGGATGTTTTGTTTCGTATTTGTGTTCCTAAAGTAAAAGGGAAACACGTTTTACCTCACAAACAAAAGGCAGTAAAAGCTTTTAGCTCTAAACTTGAAAAAACCGATTTATTTATGTATATGTTTATTTATTTATTTAGGCTATCATCTATTAACACTAGGTGGCAGTGTCGCGAAAACCATCGGGTCCTAGAAATGCGGTCTCGGGAACTGCAGCTTCCGGTATGTAGACGTTCTTAACAACGTCACATCCGCACCAGGGTCCCAGTTTTCCCGGGAGCAGCTGATCGATCAGGTTCGTCTCGTGCATCTTCCTCCATCTAACTTTGATTCGAACTCGAACAAAGTTTCTGACGCTGTCACGTGTTTCAGGAGCGACACGTTTTGTCTGAATGTTGGAAATTTGTCGCGGGAAAGTGATTTTTAAAGGTTTTAGAGCTGAAACGTGGCCGCGGAGCCTCGAACATGGCGGATGTGTTTCTGAACTGTCTCTTCTCGTTTTCAGTTTTCGTCCTGAAGACGTTTGAAGCACGTGTGTGTCAATGATGCAGAGGTAATGATTTTAAAACTACAAAATATTCTGTGTAGCAGTGTAAAACATACACGTGAGACTTGTGTACATTTTTTATCTTGAGAGGTTTGTTCTGCAGTTTATGAATTGATCAGTAGTTTGGTGTTGAGCTGTGCAGACCTTTCCAGCGAGACCCAGCCTGCTGTGGCTCTGTCCTTTCCTGTTGTGTCTGCTAGAGAGAGCTGAGGCTGTTTGAGGCCCTGCTGTGGCCCCTCGTGGCTCTTCATGGCAGGGTTATAGGTAAACCTCAGACACACTGTCCGCTCTTCACTGTGTCGAGTGTGTTATTGTGACTGGAATGAGGAGTCTGCTTTAAGTCTGCATGGTGTTTAAGGAGGAAATGATGTAATCTCTATAAACAGATTCTGTTTGTGAAGAAAAGTTCTTGTGCGATGAAAGGCACATAATACAAAATGTGACCTTTTAGTTAAACTTGATAAAAAAATGTCAGGACTTAATGAAGTCACATGTTTTAACAGAACTGCAGAAATGAAGCCAGGCCGGGTTCTACCCAGACCTCCTGACTGACACCTGGTCCTCACGTTGGAGTTCGACTAAACTAAAGAAAAATCCAGGTTTGTGTTTTCAGGAAAAATAATTCTTGTCGGTTAAAAGTTCCCGTTCACTTTGACATCTTGTGTGTTATGTGTCTGTACGCTAAAATAGGAAGAGCAGTTCTGAAATTGTACACATGAACAAATCAACAATCTCAGTCTCATGGATACACGTGTTGAAGTGAACCTGTGCAGACCTTTCCAGCGAGACCCAGCCTGCTGTGGCTCTGTCCTTTCCTGTTGTGTCTGCTAGAGAGAGATGAGGCTGTTTGAGGCCCTGCTGTGGCTCTTCATGGCAGGGTTATAGGTAAACCTCAGACACACTGTGAAGTACATTTACTGTTGATGGTATCCGGGGTGACTAACATGTTCAAATAAAGACGGTTGAATTGCCGCAGATAAAATATCAGAGGTACATCAACGGTTACTTTGCGTCCTTTTAGTTTTTCAGCCGTCTGACTAGATGAGGGTTTTTCAAATGCTTTTATTTTCAGGTTAAAAAAACTAATTTCAGTCAGAAATGTTCCTCTGCTCTCATCGTTACCTTGTAAAGCAGGACTCTGAATTGTAAATATTTTTCACTCAGGTTTTCAGGACCTTCCTGGATTGTCGACAGAAGATGGTGACTGAGCGTCGTTGGATGACGTCTGGACTTTTGACGATGTGAGTGTAAACTGGTTGTTAATGAGTTTCATTTGAAGATGTGATGGAACAAAAGTCAAACAAATAATGTTTGACATTGTCTTCACCAGAGTTCATTATGTGTCCAGGGTTGCAGATTTAAAAACTATTAGCAAACACGGTTTCTTTTCTAACAACTGACCCTTTTCTCTTTTTTCTGCACAGGAAGTGAAACACAGAAATATCCAGAGCTGAGGCCGGTCATCCTGTGGAGGTTTCTCACATGTGCACGATGTCACAGATTGTATAACTATTGTAAAAGCAGAAGCACCATAGAAACAATGAGTGAAGAATCAATGCGGAACAAAGAGAGAGATTGAGATTTTACAATCGTTGAATTGAAATCTGTGCGAGACGTATTTTACCGTATGCAATAAAAACAAGGTTTACGAATTTTAGCCTTTTGTCACCGAAGCATTTATTATTTGTCTTTACTCAAAGAAATCATGACACACTGCCGAAATAAAATATCTGAACTCATTTGCTGCTGCAACTCGTCTTGTTTTCTTCCTCTCAAAGCAGCTGTGGTGTTAGAACTGCAGCTTTCATATTCAAACAGGAGCTTCTACTTGTCAGCGTGTCCAGTGTTTCACAAAGCTTGTGTGTGTTGTTGGTTGTAGTAGATGTGTTTGAAGTCGTCCTGTTAATGATTCCCTGTTCTGCTGTTACTGAGCACCAGCTGGATAATATCCAGTTTGACGCTGTCCTCTAACAAACCCCGTGAACGTGGGAATCCAGTTTGTTACTGTGGAGATGTTCTCATGTTGAAATGCTGAACTCTTCTGTACAGAGTTCTGATATTATAGTCTGATACTGGTCAATATCCATGTGAGGGCGCTGTTGTACCACATGTATAGAGGCCAGTATCTTGTGACTCATGGATGAAGGTGGTTAAAAAAATTCAGATTTAATTTCATTCCTGTCATTGTACGACTTAGACCTGTGCTTTGTTCAAAGACTTTTTTTGTTTTAAGGGTAAGTATGAACTTCTCTCTAACGTGATTGAACCGTGTTTTACTTTGTCATCCTGTTAATGCATGTATAAACTGTCATTCCAGTTTCTTATTTAATATTGAAGTTATTTATTTGGACGTTTCTTGACTGATTTTCTTTTTCCGTTTTGTCTGAATTCATGTTTTATTGTGAATCGCATTGCGAACAAGAAGCGGATGTGACGTTGTTACTCTCGTGTTACTTTCACTTTTATCTGCAGAGAGAAACTGAAGTGAACAAGTGATCCAGTCTGTGCGCGTGACAGGTTTGTAAACTCTCGTGTTCGTCTGCTCGTGAAAACATCGACACGTAACAAACAGATTCACTCGCTGCAGCTTTCAGGACGTTTGATAAACTTCACAAACACAACTCTCTCTCTCTCCCCCTCTCTCTCTCTCTTAATCTTTCTTTACACGAGTTTAAAACCGAGTCGAGCTACTTTAGAGTCTCTTTCACTTTCGCTTTGCAGCCCGTCGGGTCCACATGTCTCCTGTGTTGCACCACGTGTGTTGCATGTTGAATTCGTCATGTGTGTTGACCAGTGTTTCCAGATGGAGAGAAGCGTGACTGAGGTTTGTGTGATTCTGCAGCTGCCGGGACGTCTGCTGGACTTCCGGTGTATTGACTCAGGTGCAAAGTGAAGAAGAAGAGGTGTGATGAAGGTGAGGTTCTCCTGTCTTCATATTTGAGGAGGGGTAAGTCACAGCACAGCGTCCACATCAGACACGACGAAGACATTTAAGACAAGTCTGGAGACGTGTCCAACTGTGTAACGTCTTTATAAATGTTTGTCTTCAAGCTCCCTCGGTGTCACTTCTTCTCTCAGATGGATTTCCCCGTGGAGGCGACGGTACGTCTGGATGTCTTCCGGGACCACGTGAAGGTGCGAGAGCTCCTCCGGTCACATGGCTTTGTGGTGACAGATCTGAGCAGAGACCAGGTTCGTGTCAAGGGTTCGTTTTTGAAGCTCCAAGCTGTGAAGGCCCGTTTGGAGCAACTTCTTAACTCGCAAAAACCGACCGAGACCACCCGGCGCTCCTCCTCGCCCTTTTCTTCTGGAGCCATTTCCAAATACTACGCAGACAGCCGTCCAGGGTCGGGTGGCGACAGAGGCAGGTTAGGATCCAGTGACGGGCCCCTGTTCGCTCACCCGTCCTCGCCCAACACCTCTGCACCGTGGACGTCAAACACGTCCCGCAGTCATCAAATCTCTTCAGAGCACAGAGCGGCTGCTTCTACCAGAGCAAAGCAGCGTGATGCGTTCAGGGCCGAAACTGAGTCATTTGTCGTTGATGCAGATGTGTTCAGGTACGCAAGGCAACTCAGGAAAAAAGACCTTGACATGATCCTGGAGACTCATAACGTAAGAGTGGTGGTGGACGAAGTTGTCGACAGCTTCAATGTCACTTTACTGGGGAAGAGTGCAAGGGCGGCCGCCGGTAAACTGCAGAGCCTCTTGAGTGATCTCAGCAAATCACTACGCACGCAGGAAGTTCCTCTGAGGGACATGGACGCGGAAGGCAAGGCTTTTTTAAACAGCATTCGCAGAAACAACAACGTTCATGATTCAGTGCTCGTGTGTGAGATGAACGACAGACTCCACCTCATCGGGTCGTCTGTCAAGAGCTACGAGGTGAAGCAGAAGCTGTTGGGGACGTCGGCGGAGCAGTCGGGGCGAGCAGGGAGGACGTTCGAGAAGAACTCCAGGAGGAGGAGCAGCTCCCTGCCGCCCACCAACCGACCCAGGGCAGATATGAGAGATATCACTTATTCATCTCCTGCTGGAGCTGCAGGTTACTCCCCCTCAAAGTACCAGGATGAGGAACAGGAAGGTGCCGGACCCGTGTGGGAGGCTGCTGGAGCTCGTCCTGGACAGAGCCGAGCTTCACGGAGACAAAGCTTCACCGAGTCACGTGAAAAAGGACGAGAAGAGAAACCTCATGACTTTGCTCAAGAGACGAACAACAGTGGCAAACCTCCCCGCATCAAGCAGCTGCTCGTCTGTACAAAACATATACAAGAAAAGCTCCAAGGTTCAAGGAAGAAATGAGGAATCTTAGGTTCCTGAAAGTTAATAAACATATTTCCAAAAATGTACTAGAGTTAAATACGCTTAAGCAGATTAAATGTTTTTGATAAGAATCATTAAAAACATTTTTTAAAATTATTTATACCCAAACAAACTAGTTTACTATTAGTAATAGTGAAATGATCAAGTTTGCCATTTAACATTCACATTAGAATTTTATATAAATGTACATATCATATTCTTTCTTGGTTGAAGGTTGTTTTTCTCCTGACAGACGTCTCACACTCTTGTATTCGTCGGCACTGCAGGTGATTTATTCTGGATGAATTCATGATCTGACTGGATGAAATGTAAATGATGTAAACGGACGAGTCAACGTGGCCGTTAATTACACAAATGACCACTGAAGCTTCCTGAAGCCTCTTTGATTGTTAATTAAATGTGATGATAAAAAACGAATGGCTGTTTAATCTCGATCTCTTTGCTCTCGGCCATAATTACGTTGTGCATCTGGGGCTGTTGTCCGTGTGATGCTTTCCTCTAGTGTGTAATTCTGTTGTTGGCCTTTATCTTATCGTCGTTCAAAACCTGGACATCAGCGGTTCTGTTTGTTTCTGTCTGCCTTTCATTACGTTCCGATCTGCCGTCTCCCTTCAGACCTCTGATATAGTACGATTCCGTTCTGTTTGAATTCAAGACGTTAAGCTGAAAACTGTTTGTCTTTTAAAATCCTGTCCCATTAAAACCTTCAAGCATCTGCCCCTGAAGGTCTCTGTCCGGCCCTGAAGCCGAACATGAGCGTGATGCATCTGCTTTTAATGTTGTCACTGTAATACCTGAATCCAACGTCTAGATGGAGGCAGATGAGAGGAGGAGAGACGTTCGTCTGAACTGGTGTGGAGAGAGGAAGTGATGGTGGCCGATGGGGATCAGACAGGTGACTGAACACTTCTTATACAGTGAGTAACTGTAGATACACAGGTGAACGCTGCAGTGGGCCACGTTTTGAGTTTTTCAGTTTGATGGTAAAAGTCCCTTTGCTCATAATCCAAACGATGAATCACGTATAGTGACACACAGACCTGAGTGGGTGACTCCGGCTATGAGGGTTTTTGTGTTCGTAGACGTAACTAAAACACAAATCATCGTGGGTTTACAGCGACGGTTTCCCCTTTTAGTGTGGTGTTGTTTTTGTTGCCAGGTTATTTCGAAACTTGACATAAAAATCGATTGGGCAGAGAGAGGCAGAAGTACAAGAAGCTGAAAGAGGAAAAGCTTGAGGATAAACGTCAATTTGCTGCTTAAATCTAAAAGTTCTGTTCACCCAAATAAAAAAAACAACTTAAACCATTAAAACTTGACTAGAAATCGTAGTTAAAGTATCTGTTTAATACCAGTGGATCCTTCGACTTGTGTTTCTATGTTTTTGCCTTTTTCTTATACGTTGTCGTCTTTAAGTCAATCTCCAGAATTCATTCTAGATATACACAATTTAGAATTTGAAAAGTTTATTCATCCTGAAGTTTCATTTACCAACTTTCAGCTCCTGTGGACTCACACACACACAGTTTCATTTGTGTTGCGTGAAACATCACTGCTGAACTTTTTTTTTTGGCTCCAGCGTCCAAGAGCTGGGAACCTCTGGTTTAGAGAGGAAACCCTGTGGGACCCATCGCACTGCCAACACTGAGTCTAGAGAGGAAATGCCACGATCGTTCCCAGGAGATAAAGGCCTCACAGTTACAGGGTGGACTGCTGTTGCCTGGCAGCGCACGTCAACACGTGGGAAGCAGAGATGCTCGAGGAGAGTGAGGCGTCGCAGAGAGTCGGTCTCTGCTCGGCGACAGTTTAGAGTTGAGGAGGTTTTGTGGCAGGAAGAGGATGCAGAAGTGATGTGTGTTCAAAGATAGCCTCCTGTCTTTTATATGAGTGGCAGGATGACGTGCTACAGAATGTAGACCACAGCTCTGTGACGAGACACAGCACGAAATCCACGCCCACACTGCCCCAGAAGTATTCAGAAGAAGTCAACCATACTTCTCCTTCTTCCTCCTTCAGCTGCTTTCTGTTCCTCTGCGTCTCGTCCGCCTTTTATTTATTTTTGTGTGTTTCGCCGGTTCCAGACGAGGCATGGCGGAGCTGGAGGGCCTGGAGTTTGGGAAGTCGGACTTCGTGCTCCTGGACGAGGTGACGATGGAGCAGTTTCTGGAGAATCTGAAGCTGAGGTAAGGCCTGAGAGGAAGAGGAGGAGGGTGGAAGTAGCCGGGTGTCAGAGTTTAACTCTTCAGGTTTAACACGTGAACCTGAAGGAAAACGAATTACTTCTTTAATTTTGCTGCAAAATTGCTGGGATTGATTTGTTGTTTGATCTGCTCTGGTCTGACTACTGTTTGTGTGCTGGACGTTGTGCACAGAGCTTTTTGTGAACAGTCTATGGTCGAAGTTTTTTGTGTTCATCCTACCTGGTCTATCTACAGTGAAGATTTTACAGTCGTTGTTTTCCATAAAATCAAACAAACTGATTTACTCAACCTCATAACTTTGAGCCCAGTTTAATTTTATTGGTTAAAAACAAAGCATGTATGGAATATGTATGATATCTTTAAATAGTAACACAAATAATTTATAAGATTGTCATCACCACATCACACTGGCCGTCATGATGATCACACAACAAAAAAAACAACACAACAGTTAATACGTTATGTGTCCAGACAGATTGGACCAGTGTCACTTCCTCTGTATTTTGCGGAGACATCTTCGAATCCTCATTTCAAACTGTGTGAAAAATCACAGAATGTCAAACAGCATGAATGATTTCCAGATAGAGAAAAGTTACACTTCTCTGCTGACGTGGGCGGAGGAAGGCCCCGGAATCTGTACTGTCACCAAATTCTTTCTCTGTTCGCTGGACGTCTTTAAAACTTATGAACATGATATCAACTTCAGGAGTTTAAACCATCAGTAGATTCCTGATCTCAATGTTAATGTCTCAGCTTAAATAGTTGTATCATGAATTTACAGGCAAAGAGAGCTTAATTATATTCAGTGCTACTATATTGAGTTGTTATACCAGTAAAGAGACTGAGGTCACTTCTCTATTTTCTTTTTTTTTTTTAACCCCAACTCGTACACAGAGGAAGCCTCAAAATTGTTGTGGCAGTGTGAGAACAGTGTTCCGCTCTCAGGGATGATTTCAACCATGTGAAGAAGCCTCACCGAGCTTTTCAGTCGTGTTAATAACCACGTGTTGCCATAAAAAAAAGATTGCTTCAGGATCCTTGACAACCAGATTATCTTGAATACTGAGGTTCTACACACAAAACTCCAAAACAAAAATAGAGAGGGTTCACTTCTCGGTGGAGCCTCGACCTGAGTTAGATCTGCATATATGTGCACATTAGAGGACCCGGCCTCTGAAGTGGAACACGTAGCTGCTCATGTTGGCATGTTGCTCTCCCAACGCCACCGCCACACTGTTACTTAAGCGTTTCATTCAGCAGCTCAATTAACCTCAGTGACAAGACATTTCTACTCCTCCCAGCTCAACGAGAACCCACAGGAGGTTACTCAAGTGGGCGACGCCCCTTTGAACCACAAGTTTCATTTCCTGCTTTGACACTTGTGTCACTTCCTGTCAACTACATGTGAGATAGGTGCATGGTCTTCATGGAAACTTCAACTTGAGGGTGTTTCCGTGGGAAAAAATGCTCTTGTGAATAAATTAAATACTTTTTTCATATCGTGTTTACAGTAAATGAAGGTGAAATATCTTTGTGCTCACTCACATGTGCGTGTGATTTGTAAATCCGTCATCGTGTGTGCTTGTCGTCTGTGTGTGCAGGTTTGAGAAGGGCCGTATCTACACCTACATCGGAGAAGTGGTGGTCTCTGTCAACCCTTACAGACAAATGGAAATTTATGGCAAAGAAACCATCGATGCGTACCGAGGCCGGGAGCTGTATGAAAACCCTCCTCACCTGTACGCGGTGTCTGATGCCGCCTACAAGGCCATGAAGAGGCGGGCCAAAGACACCTGCATCGTCATATCAGGTCACAACAGATTCTCCCTTCTCAGTGAAATTCATTTTTGTCAAAAGCAAAACCAGCTCGATGCACGAAGCAAAATTACAGAAGACAAACAAAGATGTAAAGTCTGTGATCAAACATCTTCTCAAGAGGACATTGTGAAAAATCATTGAAACGCAGCTGCAACCGTCTTGTGTTCATCAGTGTTGGTGAATTGTCGTGTTTTCTTCTTCAGGTGAAAGCGGCGCAGGAAAAACAGAAGCCAGTAAATACATCATGCAGTATATAGCAGCCATCACAAACCCGAGCCAGAGGGTGGAGGTCGAGAGGTGAGAGCTGCCGTGATCTGAAGGTCGAGTGGTTCATGAGTGAACTTACATAGGATTCATTATAAACGGAAATGTGGCTCCGTATGTCCAACACAAATAAATAACTGGATCGTGAGAGTTTGACGTTGCCGTGAATCATTCTCACTTTCTTCTTCTCCTCTCGGCTGTTTCCCCACATGCTTCCATCAATGGTCACGTGATGCATCAGCGTGAAGAATGTGCTGCTCAAGTCCAACTGCGTGCTGGAGGCCTTCGGGAACGCCAAGACGAATCGCAACGACAACTCCAGCCGCTTCGGCAAGTACATGGACATCAACTTCAACTTCAACGGGGATCCCACCGGAGGACACATCAACAACTACCTGCTGGAGAAGGTGAGAGGAGGCGGGCGGGAAGATGGAGGGCCGTCCTCCGCAGACCCGGAGACCTTCATGGGTCCAGAAGACACCAAAAACAAAAAGACATGCACCTAATGAGCCCACCTCTGCAGAAAAGTTCAGCTCATTTAGTTTTTAAATTACATCCTTTCTCCCGAACATGAATGTTTCACGAGGTGATGACAAAGAGGTGCGAGGGAACATCCATGAATAGACATGTCTGTGAAGTCGGTGCAGCGCGGCGGCGGCGTGTTAATGAATGGTTCACCTGGGGGTACTCGATGCTGCTGTAGTTATTCTCTCTGCTGAGGAGCCGTCTGGCACTCGGAGCCGGTGTGAATGATGGTGTCATGATTCATTCTCACGGGGCAGAAATAACCACACTGTTTCCAAGCACTTTCTCTGGAAATAGGTTTGGTTTAAGTGTTTTTCCCTGAAGGGAAAAAACAACTGAAACGTGTAACAGCAGCTGGTGATGGTTCTGAAGATTGGTTGGTTGATTGTTCTTATTTCTGCAGAAAAACACTTATAAATACTTGTATTTTTACAATTCAAGGAAGTTTCTATGGGTGACACAAGTTTGATTTCAAGTTCAGCGTTTCTGACGCTTTCCCTTTTTTATTTTAAACTTGCTTTGACCTCTTTGTCACACTTCATCACTTATATTATAAATTATATCAGTATTAAATTACATTTTTATTTTATTTTCATTCGTCCGGTTTGACACAAGACATCACATCTCACCACTGACCGTGTGACCTCAGTGTCTGAGGATGGATGTTTGATTTGATGCCTCACTCTGTTTTCCTGTTTTAGTCCCGGGTGGTCCAGCAGCACGAGGGGGAGAGGAACTTCCACTCGTTTTACCAGGTACAGTCTGACTGTACGCCGACGATGCTCCGTTTTAATTTCTTGTCCAAACTTTAACCACCTTTGTATCAAATGCTGTCGATTAACTGTCCAGTGATTCGTACACAAGGACAGAAGCACACTGACCCCTCACATATCTGTTGTGATGTATAGCTACTACGTGGAGGCTCAGATGAAATGCTGGAGTCCTTTCACCTGCAGAAGGATCCTGCTGTTTATACGTACACCAAAGCGGGCGTTGCAACAGCTGTGAGTCCGATCTACTTGTCCCATTTACATTTTTAGGAAGATAATAATAATAATTACTCATCAATGGGCAAAACCTTTTTCTTCCATCTGTCTTTAGACGTCCAACAACGATCGCTCGAGCCACAAGGCGGTGCTGAGTGCACTGGATGTGATCGGCTTCTCCAGTGAGGAGATTTACTCCATTTATCAAATCCTTGCCTCCATCCTTCTGCTGGTAAGCTGCAGCTCGGAGTGTTAAACACAGGAGATTTCTAACGCTTATTTAAAAGGATTAAGATTATCGAAAAATGGCGTATACTTGTAGCACCTGTTTAGATTTTAGATTTTTATTTTTTGCATCATGGTGAAGAATCAAGGAGTCTTGTTTCTTTCAGGGTAACGTTCAGTTTGAGAGCGACGGGGAGAACGTTCAGATCCTGGGGCTGGAAGCCGTGAACCACATCTCCGAGCTGACGGCCACAGATCCAAACAGCGTCAGTAAGAGCCTGCTGTATCGTACCGTGGCCACCGGGGGCGGCGAGGTCATCGAGAAGGGCCACACCGAGCAGCAGGCCTGTTTTGGGCGGGACGCTTTTGCCAAGGTGCTGATTTCTCGCCGGTGATGGTTTATACAGATGAATTGTTTTACTCGTTTAACACACTCTCTCTCTTTTCTCTCCTCCTGCAGGCTCTCTATGAAAGACTTTTTTGCTGGATTGTCAACCGCATCAACAGCGTCATCGAAGTGAAAGACTACGACCCAGTGCTTCATGGGAAAAACACCGTCATCGGAGTGCTGGACATCTACGGCTTTGAGATCTTTGAGAACAACAGGTCAGTGTCGCTCACTTGGCAAATGTTCTGTGTTTCTTTCTTCGAACAGACCGAAGTTTAGTCGTGGCTGAAGACGTTTGCTTCTCTGTTGTCGTCCAGTTTTGAACAGTTCTGCATCAACTACTGTAACGAGAAGCTGCAGCAGCTTTTCATCGAGCTGATCCTCCGACAGGAACAAGGCGAATATCACAGGGAGGGGATCACCTGGCAACACGTGAGAGATGCACACAAACAGCAACGCACATTTTCAAGATGTACACACACACACACACACACACACATTGGAAATGGAACAAACTCTTTTTTATCTCACGTTGCTGCTGTTCGCACAGATCGACTACTTCAACAACCAGATCATCGTTGATCTCGTGGAGCAGCCGCACAAAGGCATCATCTCCGTCCTGGATGAAGCCTGCATGACCGTGGGTAACGTCACTGACACAGTCTGCCTGGACAGCATGGACACCAAACTGGCCCAGCACCCCCACTACACGTCCCGCAAGGTGAGAACGGATCGCAGCGTCATCGCTCGTCCTCTTCTCACTCTGTTGTTCACACGTGAATCTAGAAAATTCGAGCTGTAAATAATAATGAGGATAATATTCAAACAGCCTGCGGAGACGGATGACTCAGTCTGTGCGGTGGCAGTCAGGGGATGTGATCACGAGTCAGTGTCAGCTGTCAATCATGATGTTTCACCCCGTTTACATAACATCAGATAACTAATTAAAACCAGACTTACCCACCAACATGTTATCATGTGATAGGAACTACCTGAAATAACCAAACATTGAGAAAACATGTACTTAATACTATTTGGTCCGTGTCCCATCCGCTAACATGGAGGATTTATGACCTACACTGCAGCCAGCCACCAGGGGGCGAGTGACACTCTTGGGGATCTGTCATGTGGTCCGTCCGTCAGTCAGACATGAACACGTACATAACGGCTCCTCGCTGGTGTTTTACATTGACACCTCAGTAACTTTATTAACAGTCAGTATTTGCAGGTTTGAGCTGAAACATTCAAATTAAAATCTTTTGCTGCTCATCATGTAACCGAGAAACGTTGGTGTTAGAGTTTAAAAAAGGATCTCGTCTCTCGTCTGACGGGACTTTAGGAAGTGGTGATCTGTCGTCGACACATCGTCCTCTGACTTGAGTAACTGTGAAGAAAAACAAAATGAAGAAATCTTGTTTTCAGGCCAAACTTTTAACATTTCTCAGAACCGTCAAAGTGACTGACTGGATCGGTGTAAACATAAGAAATGATTATTGCATGCACCTCTCGGTGGATCGTAAACACACTGACACAAAACCAGGGAAGCTGGCGAGTTGCTCCACTGCGGAAAAGTTAATGTTTGATGAGCTGACACAGATTCAGACGTTTCATAATAAACACATCTGCCGGGAATGAAAGATGGTTTTCACTAAAGTGTGACTGACGTTATTTATGTTCGGATTAACCACTAAAAAGACAGGAAATGGTCTAATTTAAAAAATAAAATAAAATTCAATGCCTTGTCAGTGTAGTGCTCAGTGGTACAGACAGTATATACATACAGACAATTACAATACATTTAGAAATATAACAGTCTAATGAATAATAAAATCAAAACACATGTAAAATGCTGGGTATTAGAACAGATGAGACTATATACTCAGTTATATTACACACAGTCACAGTATACATAATATTGAACATTAATTACTTTTGACTGTGTTAGTGTGCAGATATAAAATCAAAAATGAATACACTTGTGTTGTTTATCTCCTTAAAACCAGTATTTTGGTTTGATAGAACAAAAACACTTTTTACTGAACTGTGACTCAGGTGCAGTTCTGTGTTTCTGTCAGTAGAGGACAGAGTTCCTCTAATGTTTTGTGTCCAGGGATTTGTCCAAAGATGCTTTTCAAACCAAACAGGCTCCAAACCTCAGCCTCCCTGCTCTTGTAGCTCTTGTACTTTATCTTTGCTCTGTTCGTTATCAACATTCGAAGAGAAATAAGTTTATTATTTTACATGTGGTGTCTTCTCCCCGTTTCCAGCTCAGCCCCACTGATAAGACCATGGAATTCCAGAAACACTTCCGCATTCGCCACTACGCCGGAGACGTCACGTGAGTCCACCGCACATGAACGCACCCCGCTGCCTCTCTTGAGCTCGTGCCTGAGTGCGTCTGAAAGAGTTTAAGCCTCGTAATCCTATTAAAGGGGCAAAATGTGGGTGATTTACTTGGAATCATTCATAAATTAAGATTATCGAGAGAATGTGAGGAAATAACAGTTTTCACGTTGGGTCCGAGAAGTTTGTTGTGCTGCAGAGATATTTTCTGATATTTGTTAACTCAAGCTCGGGGCTACTTCCTCTCCTCGACCTCCTGTGGCTCGGCTCCTGACACAGTGAGCCTGCATGGAAAACGTTATTCCTCAGTCACTGCAGGTTTGGCAGGTGAACGACCGCCCATGTGCTGAGGTCAGGTTCATTATTTATTATTAGCTCGATGTGAGGGTGAGATATAAAACTTTGGCCAGGGAGCCCGATCATGGAGCACCAGTTCATGTGCATCTTACTCGATAAATAGACGGACAGGACCGGTTAAAATTATATGGATAGATTGTTTGACTGTCCTTCGGCCCACCAGAATTTTTCCCAGCATGCCTTACAGCTGGTCTGAATATGGCAGAAGAGGAAGCGAGACCTGGTTTCTCCCGACAGGGGTCACATGATCTTATGCTCTTCTTTAAGAGAGGTCAGCTGATGACATTGGCGGCATTGTGTATTTTATGAGGAGTTCATCTTTAACAATGAGTTTGTGTCTGTGTTTATGTCAATATATATATATATATATATATATATATATATATATCCCCAGAATCCAACACTGAATATATTATAAATGTAAAAGCTCTGTATTTTTATCACACGTTAGAAAGTCCTTGCGTCATCAACCTGCACATCCGGACATAAAGACAAAGCGCGCTGTGCGACACACGTGTCATTGTGGGGGTGGAGACAGGATGCGGACTCAACTGTGCTGTCGAGATAAAATATTTCACAGCATCAGTGGTCACAGAAGCTCAACATGTAGAAACACGTTCCACAGCTTTGACACATCATTTTATGACTCATGCTCCGTTTCCCTTTTTTTCCTTTTTGTTTGATGGCTGCTGACACCATGAATCCCCCCCGGTTGCTGTATTTTTCAAAACATGACAGAAATGTCAACTCAGAGAGATTTTACCGCGAAATGAATCATTTTTGTCTTTTCAAAACTAGCAGGAACATTTGTTTGTGGTTTTAAACCCTTTAGTTGACAGTTGAAGTTATTCTGATTATTTATAAAGATTATTTTTGGATTTGTTTCCGTTTTGACTTTTATTTTTGAGTTTTATTATAATCACACGTGAAGCTATAAAACAGATGCAGTATTTTCATCATAGGCTTTTATTCTGTTCTGTTGATGATTGCAGTTGCTTGGTTTAGGATTTCTTCTTCTTCTTCTTCTTCATCACTGCTCCTCTTCTCTCATGTGTTCACTGGGTTTTAACGGTGACCGTGGCCCGATGAGGAATCCGTGGCTTCGCTTTCGGAAGATCCCCTCCGCTCACGTGTACTGCCCTTGAGACGGGAAGGACATTTATATGTCAAGGGAATGCGAGAGGAGGATGGAGGGATGAAGAGGGGAGGGGAGGGATGGAGCCAGCTGATGAGACAATTTTGGCTCCGGGATGTAGCGGCAGCAGTAATCAAGGAGGAGTGGAGGAGGGTTTACTGAGGTTCTTTGACTCGGTGAAATCCAGGCTAACACGATGTCAAACACTGAGCAGTTTCATCCATCTTAGAAGCTCCAGATACACAATTACTACTTATCTTTAATGCACTGGCAGCATGTACCCTTAACTCATAAGTAAAAGTACAATTACCCCCCCCCCCCCAGTAAAATACTCTATCCCAAGTAAAAGTCTTTCAATGAAAACTTTTTTTTTTTTTAAATCGTCCTGAATCTGCAGCCGCTGCAGGTTTAGGGTGGTGTTCAGCTCATTGTTCTGTGGTCGGACCTGAAACTTTACTGCTCTGCTTCACTCTGTGGTCAGTGGGGCTTTACACTGTCCCCTGCCTGCTCAGCAACTGAAGACAGACCAAAGCTGGTGAACATAGCGGTGAACATTTAGCAGCTTAGAGAGTCAGATATTTCCCTCAGGAGTTGGTAGAGACAGTAGACGAAAGCATCTTGATTGCCCCCTGGTGTCTGGCTGCAGTATAGATCATAAAACACGCCTCAGCAGAGGGAACATGAGCCAAACTTTAAAAAAAAAAAAAAAAGTTTTTATCACACTCCACAACCCCCTCTGCACAGACTGGCTCCAAATTACATCACCAGGGCAAGATGGCCGCTCCCATTTCTGGGATATTTTGAATTCACTTGAGGAGAAGGTGGAGACACGTCGTCCATCTGTCTGTGGTGGAGACTAAAAACTGAGCTAAGAAAGACTTAACGTTGGATTTGGATTGTCAACTTGTCCGCTGCGTCCAAGTGGACACAAAAATATCAAAGTTCATGTTTAAAGATGTTAATGCACTCACTTTAATTTGACTCCTGCCAGCATTAGCATGACGGAGGTCAAGACAGATGTTCGTCCCTGTCACCGTCCGTCCCCTTCACCCGGCCCTCAGCTCGTCTCGGGGCCACGTCGAGGCCCCCCTCAGCTGAGCTGTCACCCCTCGTATATTGCTTCCTGCTGGCACTGCCCCCCCATCATCCCCTGTCCCATCCCATCCTACAGTCTATCCTTACCCTGGCTAAATATACCCCCGCCACCCGCTGCCCTCCTCCCCCTCCTCTCACCAAACCGCCGCCACGATCACAAGCTTTGACCTACTTCGCTCCCTCCTCCTCCTTTTCCTTCCTCATCCTGTTTCTTCTGTTTCTCCTCCTCCTCTTCTGCGACTCTCACCTGACTCTCTTCTGCTGCCCACATTTTAAATTCCCTGCAGTATTCTAGCCTGCACATGCAGCACTTTGAGCCGCCGTAAGATGCATCATCCTCCCGTTACTGCACAACTTCATACTGCAACAAATGTCAGGCTGGTGTCCCTGGCTCTGTGAGTGCGTGTGCTCCCTTCAACCCAGTACAACGCAGCCCTCTCCGAGCACCAACCTTGACCTTCGCATAAATATACTTTTCTCTAAATCATCCTCCTGTCTCTGGAGAGCTCCTGCCTTTATCTCTGCATGTCCTGTCCTGTCTGTCCTGTTCCATCCAATGTCCTGTCCTTGTAAACCAGCGGTGTGGCTTGTTATTGTGTGTTCTGATTGCTCCCACTCATGCTTTCACCCTCCGTCTCCCCTCGACGAGCTTCCTAGAATCTGGTCAGGTGGTTTCTGCACTCGTGAGTTATGGGGACACATCTGTCAAAGCCAGCTCTGCGTCTTTGCCTCCAGATGTGACAGATGAGGACACAGTCGCAGACGACATGTGACATGTCTCTTGTGTGTGTTCACTAGAAAGGTGGAGAGGCATTGTGAAGCTACTGCACTGATGGAAATTAAATAAGTACCATTAATCTAGTATCATACTATAGTTCATTTTGAAGGTTTTAGTATTTTCATTTCATTCTGTATTTTATTTCTACATTTCAAGGAAAAATGTCTTTCCATTTATCTGAAAACTATGTATACAAGTTTCTACTTTTTATTGCACTACATTACAGATTACATTTTATAATTCGGGTTATAAAACGGATTTACCATCTTAGCTTCTTATATAGGTTAATTTTAATTTAAACTTCTTGGGCCCTAATGAGTAAAAAAATCATGAAATTTAGTTCAAAAGCAAAGATTAGAAAAATGCAAAAATGAAGATTATTCTTTCCTCCACTTGAATCCTCACACTGGGCTGGGCAGCACTGGACTAAACCTAATATATGTGTAGCTTCGTCTCCAGCTGCTACAAAGGTACAAGCTCATATTCACCAGTGACATATTGTAATATATAATAATACATCACATGAATATGTATCTGTAGTTTTTCTGTAGATGTTTTCTGTACATTCAGCTGAGCTGCAGGTTTTGAAACTGAGCTTTCTCGCATCGTTGTGTTGTTGCTCCGGTGTAACTCTGCCTCCGTCTGCACAGTTTCTGTGTTCTATAAAAAGGAAGCAGCTTTTATCGCACCAGCTTCTGCACTGAGAGTTATAATTGAATTGCGAATGACAGAAAAAGAGGCGTCGGTTTAGCTGCACTGCACTCCCGATGACTTATGTAACGGTGCCACACAGTTTTGCCCGTGACCTCCCACTGATGCCAGCCGGGCAGTTTGAAAACAGACAGATTAGTTTGTAGACAGTTTTTTGTTTGTTTTTTAACTGTCGGGGGATTTTGACCCTAATTTGTAAATTGTCTAAGTGGCCTGACTGTTTCGATCCTCTGGCCTGAGGACTGTGAATCATTCGGAGCAGAGCCTGTTAGCGGGTAATGATACTGACGCTTTTAGAGACAGACGCTCGCTGTTTAAATCGTGTTACTTTCTGTCTGACTTGCAGCGTCCTGACGCCTCTCACTTTCTTTTCATCTGCTTTTGTCCACTTCCTCTCACTCTCTCTCTCTCTCTCTCTCTCTGTTGCAGATATTCGGTTGAGGGCTTTTTGGACAAAAACAAGGACCTGCTTTTCCAAGACTTCAAGCGCCTCATGTACAACAGGTACCGAAAACAGACTCCACGTCATGATCTTCTAAACTGGGTTCAGTAACTGGGTTAAGTGTAAATAAGTTTCTTCTCACTAACCCAGTTAATGTCGTCCTTCTTGCCTCTCTCCATCTCGCAGTGCCAACCCAGTCCTGAAGGAGATGTGGCCAGATGGTCAGCTGAGCATCACCGAGGTCACCAAGCGACCTCTGACCGCCGCCACCCTCTTCAAGAACTCCATTGTGGCCTTGGTGGATAAACTGGCCTGTAAGGTCAGTGGCTCCGGCTCAAGATTTACTTCCTCTTCATTTAACCCGGCGGGAAAAGCGACAGATCTTCACATCAGTTTTTCTTTATCAGCTTATTGTGACAATAAAAAATCAAATCAAGTAATGTTTTTGCAGAAGTTTAAGGCCGAGAGCAGTGAAGTTGAGAACGATGTGTGTGAGAGAGAGAAAGGTACTAATGCTTTAATTTTGTGGTGTTAATATATCGATCTACTCTTCATTTAGATAAACAACAGGGTGTGTTCTGTATAGAAGTCTCTGAGACGATGACTCTCCTTCTCACTGGATTATTCACGTCGAGGACTTTATGATCTCAATCTCTAGTGTCAAGTCTTCTTCAATAAAGCATGATGTCCATTTTGTAAATTATGATCCCACAAGGCTTCAAAACATCAGCTCACAAACCAACGGGTGACGTCATGGAATAAAGTGTGAATCACCTGGAGTCTCAGTCTTTAGCCAGGAGTTTAGCGTCAGTAGAGGCTCATGGGTCAGTTTACTCATACGTGTGATCATCAGGACGATGCTCTGCACCAGCGGAAGCTCCTCTGGTTCCTGTAAAGCTCATATGTGAGTCACAGGCTATTCTGAGGCTGCCAGTGTGTCTGTGCCGTGTTTCTTTTGCAAGGGACGGTTCGTTGTCATGCATCACAAGCTACGGGGCGAGAGGAAGCGTGCAGCTGTCCAGCAGGAGCATGAATACAGAGCAATGTGCTCTTGCTTGTCCTCATCCTGCCTGAGTGTGTGAGTGTGGAGCTTGGAGAGTGGTGGGGAGGAGGTGGTGAGGAGGTGGTGAGGAGGCGGCGAGGAGGCGGCGAGGAGGCGGCGGTGCTGCTGCTCACCTCTCCTGGCCTTGTCTCACTGACTGGAGTCTGACATTTCCTGCTGTTATTTTGGGATGGCCTGCTGCTGGGCTGTTGTTGCGTCCTGTCTCAGTGCGGCTGAGGTAAAATGAAAGAAAAGTCCTCTGGCAAAGATCCCGTTGAAAGAGCGGATGACTTCCTCATCTGCTTGTTCACCTGTGCCCAGTCTGCCCACCTCATTTACTCCCAACCCTCATTAACCGCCTCGTTTCTCACATCTCTGCCGAGCTGAGTTGAAACTTGGGGGCACACGAGCACATGCATCATTGATGTGATGGATGACACCGTCGTCACGATGTGCTCGCTTTGTTCCGCTTTGTTCATCTTTCATGGACAGAAAGCAAGCGACAGTGAAAACACAGCAGTCTCTGCTCTTTGATAGGATGTCGTGTGCCTCAGAGATCCCTGTCAAGGTGCAGGCGTCCAGCCACAATTTACCGTCCTGCAAGTTTGAACCTAAAGTTCAATGTGCCGTTAGTAAGTGGACATGTTCCTCGGCTCAGCTGCTCACTGTGGTGTCTGCTGAGATACTCTGAAAAATCACATTAAGGTCAGTGAACTCAGTTTGCCAGTGTTGCAGCTGAGCTGAGGCTCAGTGACAGTTTACAGGCTGAGTGTGGTTTGTTTACTTACACAGCGACGAACACATGAGCGAATTATTACAAAGTGCTTTAAAAATATAAGAACTTAGAAATAAGACAACGGAATAAAATGATGCAGAAATAAAAAAACAGCATTAAAATAATAAAACCGACAACGTTAATAAAAATACTGATCTGTATTTCAGGCCAATAGGCCAACAACACTCAACTCTGCTCTGTCTTCCAGGAGCCGTACTACGTGCGCTGCGTGAAGCCCAACGAGATGAAGTCGGCGGTGTTATTCGACGATGCTCGCTGCCAGCACCAGGTGGCGTACCTCGGCCTGCTGGAGAACGTGATGGTGCGCAGGGCGGGCTTCGCCTACAGGCAGCCCTACAATCGCTTCCTGCAGCGGTAAGAGAGTGCAGCCAGACTTCCTCATGAAGAATCCAGTCGAAGGTTAAATTATTATGTTTCACTGTGAAGACCTAAAATAACGGAGACCATCTTTCAGAAACATTTGTTTTACGTGTACTCGCACTTTTTTAGTTTGCTCCATCTCCCAGCTGCAGACATGGAGGAGGCATGGGGTTTGTGACCTATAACGATTCTAGCCACCGGGGGGCGATCAAGATGTTTTGGCTTCACTCTGTCGCGATCACAACCCCTGATTTCTTTCTGTCGCCTGCAGGTATAAAATGACGTGTGAGTACACCTGGCCGAACCACCTGATGGGGTCGGACAGACAGGCCGTGGAGGCCATCGTCAACCACTACGGTTTCCAGGACGACGTGGCGTACGGCCACACCAAGCTGTTTGTCCGAACGCCGCGCTCTCTCTTCACCCTGGAGCAGGAGAGAGCGGGAGTCATCCCCATCCTGGTGCTCTTCTTGCAGAAGGTACAACTGAAGTACTGTGTGTAACTGTCGAGATTAAACGATCCTCTCTTTACTATTCACCCTCAAAATGATTTTAAATCCTCCGCAGATGTTTTTAAATCCTGCATTTTAATGAGGATGCGTTGATCTGACACAGAGACCTGATGCAATACAGCACGCAGCTCAAGTCGTCTACAGTTAATCATCCACAACGTTATCTCCCCCAGTTTCAAACGCCGGATTCTGGGTTTCTCAGCCTCCTGGTTAACTTTGACTGGAATTCATCTGCCTGCATGAATCCTAATTTCCTGTAACAATAATTGGGAGAATTAATGAGATCCAGAGTACAGTTACATTAAAGTCAATTACTCGGCTCGCTCTGTGAAATATCTTCTCTTCTCTCTGACCTACTTTGATGGCTCTGCAGAGTCTGCGTCTCTAACTGGAGCACAAGTTTTTGTCTTCGGCTCAGCAGGAGTCCAAGAAAACATCTCTCCTCCCTGTGTTTCTAAAACTGGCAGGTTTGGCGAGGGGCGTTAGCTCGTATGCGGTGCCAGCGGATGAGAGCCATCTACACCATCATGGGCTGCTATAAGCGCTACAAGGTCAAGGCTCACTTCTGGGAGGTGGCGCGGAGGTTCGCTAATGTGCGAACCATGGCCGACTATGGGAAGAGCGTGGAGTGGCCGACCCCGCCTGTAGCTCTGTCCCAGTTTCACAACAACACGGTCCTGCTGCACCGCAGGTCAGATCCCACACAACAAAACTCCAACACCACGACAATAACAAACAGAAACAGTGTTTTAAAATATTTTCCCAATCTCATTTCACGTTGAAGAAACTGACAGAAGAAGGTTCTTGTATCTTAAAGAAGAATGTCTTAAATTTCATCAACTTGTGAACTTACATTATCCAAAATGTTTCCCACAATCTTCACAACCCAGAGAAAAACTTTACAAACACCTTTTTCAGCAGAATTTGTCGTGTGAGTGTGTTGTTGTTGTTGTGACTTGTGAGCAGCAGATTAAAACTTTATCCTCACGCACATTAACCCGGAGCTGCACCTCCTACTGCTCTGCACCTTTGATGTGTTATTTCACCCACGCTGCTTTGTTCTCACCCCTTGCTGTCAGGTGGTGGGCGAGGCAGATCGTGAAGAACATCCCGCCGTCTGACATGCTGGAGGTCCGGGCCAAGGTGGCGGCTCTGACGGCTCTGAGGGGAGAGAGGAAAGACTGGGGTGTCAGCCGAGCCTGGGAGAGGGACTACCTGGCTAATGTAAGAGTCAGAACACACACACACACACACA